CAGCCTGCAGTACCTGAACGAGATGGCCAATGTCACCAGGTCTGGCTACCGGGCTCTGCTCTCTGCACCCTGGTACCTGAACCGCATCTCCTACGGGCAGGACTGGATAGAAGCCTATAAGGTGGAGCCCTTGAACTTTGAAGGTGTGTTCCTTTGTCCCCTTTCTGCATGGCAGCTGGCTTGGCACTCAGACCTAGTTCCAGAACTGGCTGTTTTGCTGTCTCCTCTACAGGCAGCCCTGAGCAGAAGGCCCTGGTGATTGGTGGCGAGGCCTGCATGTGGGGTGAATATGTGGATGTCACCAACCTGACCCCAAGGCTCTGGTAAGGGAAGCCACAGGGAGGTCACTTGGGTTGCCTGAGGCCAGGCTTGCATCCCTTTTCTTTGCCACTGAGTGTCATGTGCTGAGCTAATGGGTTTGGTCTGCACATGGTGCCTGTTCTCCCCTGTGCTGTTAACAGCTTCGTAACAGCTGAAATGGGAGTTTGCAAGGCTGTAACAACCTGCTGCTGCAACCAGGTTGTGTTTAACACCTGTCTGTCCTGTCATCCTGGTCTGCTCCTGATGGGCACGTGTCCAGCAACAGATCTTGGGATACTCTGAAGCCTTTGTGTGTGGAAGGATGCTGGTTAGAAAAGTGCTTGGGAGTTCAGGGCTTCATGTAAGAATCTTTTGAACTCCCCCCTGTCCTGACTGCCTGTCCCTTGTCTTCAAGGCCAAGAGGTGGGGCTGTAGCTGAAAGACTCTGGAGCAATGAGACTGTCAGCAACGTGGAAGACGCTTATGCCCGGCTGGCGGAGTTCCGCTGCACCCTGCTTGGGTAACTGCTCTGGGCTCAACCCTGGGAGGGCAGCAAGGGAGAAGGGCTTGCCCTGCTGAAAAATGACCCTTGTTCCTCTGGAAAGCCCTGGTTTTTCTGCTGCCTGTGTGTGGGCAGAGCTTGCTTTGTGCAGCACTGGAAGAGCGCTCCTGTTGCTGGCGTAGGCTGATGGCTCTGGCGAGGAGAGGGCTTTGTGCTGAGGAAGGAGGGGACTTGTCAGTTCTTGCCACTCCTCCTGCAGCACCAGCTTCCTCAGGAAACCTGTCCTCACCCTGTGCTCCCACACATGAGCAGAATCGGAGTTTATAAGCACAGGATGAAAACCACTCCCTCCTTGTCACACCTGAAACGGGGTACCCACTGCCACCCTGTGCCACTGGAAGCCCTCATACCTGGTGGTGTGTCTGCCTGTGCCCTCTCCCTGATGCCATCCTTCTGTTCTCTTCCCAGGCGTGGTGTCCAGGCACAGCCTCTCTACGTTGGATACTGTGACCATGAATTTGGCGAAGTTTGAAGGGAGAGCCCTACTGCCCTCTGCCTCTGTGCATGCAGGAGGAATGTTCCCCCCTCAAAAGGGCAGAGGGACCCCTTGCCACCCCACCTTCTGCTCTGGCTTCATTGCAATGAACATTTCTTTTGCCTCAGCATGCACTCTTTACCTCCTTTTCTATTTTTATTTCTTTAAGTCTATAAATAAATGACCCCAAAGAGGAAAAAGGTGCCTATTCCTGCTCATCTGGGCTTGGGACACTGTGCAAGGTTACCAGGAGATGGGTAGGGCTTGCTCCAGAGATGCTGGTGGAGAACCATCATCCTGGCAGGTCTGGAAGTTTGCAGGGTGCCTGCTCAGCTGGATAAACTGTGCCTAGCCTCTGCTGATGTCCCAGGGTTTGCTTCTGCAGTCACATTGTGCTGTGGGGTCCTGTCCTTGTCCCTTCTCTGTCCTCTGATGGGCAGGCCTGCGAGCTGCCACCTCTGCTGCCCTAAACCCTGGTTGCTGCCACCTCTTCTGACTTTTCCTCAGCCCATGACACCCTGGAGCCTCTCTGAGGAGCCCTTGCAAATCTGCTGAGTGGCGCATGGATACTAAAAAATCTCTGCTCAGCGCTTCAGGCTGTCACCCCTGCCTGGATTTGTCCAGCTGACCCGTCCTCCTGCTCTGTTATTCTCAGGGTGAGGAGCTCAGCTCCAGGTCTCCTCCATCCAGAGGGGTTGGTTTTGATGATGCTTTCCTTGGAGAAGAAACCAGTGGTGCTGCTGTCCCATAGACAGATGTGGTTGTTGTCCTTCAATGGTTGGGATTGCCATGCTGGAAATGGCATTCAGCTGGGAGCAGGGAATCTGTCAGGGAGAAATCCTGGCTGGCTGGGACTGTTGTATGGGTGTCTTGTCTTAAGTGAGTGAGACGCACTGTTATGGCTGGAAACCTTTCATGACTGAACTTTAAATTAAAAATAGTGAATTAACAGTTATTACTGCCTCCTATTTTTAAAAGTCAGATTTTTTTTCCTTTTTTTTTTTTTTTTTTTTTCCCCTCAGTGTGCTGTAAAGTAGTGGCTAGGTGCTTTTGTCACTGTGGGGAGCTGCTGCCAGCAGGGCTGGGGCAAGCAAGACCCTGGCCGTGGGAAGGGTGCTTTGTTCCCAAGAATGTTGCTGTGTTCCTACAGATGATGTTCTGCAAGAGATGCTCTTCACCACCCTATCCCATTCCCTGCCCTCATTCCGCCTTCCCTTGCGCCTTGCTGGGCTCCCTTTCCCCCACAGCCAGGTGGGAGAGCCCCCAGGGCTTGGGATACCCACAGAGGACGCCCCGACACTGCACCTTCCACTGAAGCCTGGTGTTGTGATCCAGGTTAAACATCACCCGTGATCTCATTTCGCAGGGTGTCTGAACCAGCATCTTCCCAAAACCACCCTCATGGAGGTGGATCGGTGACGTTTCCACCCTCGGACGGGCCGGGATCCCGGAAGCACCCTGCTCTCCCCGCCGCGCCTTTGCCGGGTGGCCCGTTCCTTCCAGAACATCTATTTTGGTCGTGTAAAACTTGCCGGGGAGCAGGGAACAGGGAACAGGCAGCGTGTGAATCACTCGGGGCCAACGGGTTTAAAAATAAACCCAAGCGGCGGCGAGGAGCAGCCGCCGAGCCCCCGGATTCCGGCAGGATTGTGCTCCACACGTCCCAAACCCACCCGTGGGCACCGGCACCAGCCAGGGGAGTTTATTGGGACACGCTTGCAGTGGCGGGCACCTGTGTGCATGGTGTGTGTGAGTGCTTGTAAACACGTGTGTGCTTCGGGGGTGTGCCTGGAAGCGTGTGCGCAGTGCGTGTGTGCTTGTAAATGCTTGCTGTGTGTTCTGTGTGTGCTTGTAAACACGTGTGCGTTGTGGGCACCGTGTGTGTGTGCTTGTAAACACGTGTCTGCTTGTGAGCACACACTTGCACACACATGGTTATGTCCTCACATCCACTCGTGCACACACGGGCAGGAGGGTTGTTGAACACGCATGCATTAAGGGCCCTTGCACGTGTGCACTCGCACACATGCACAAATGCACTTGCTCACACGTGCATGTGGGTCTTTGCACACATGCACTCGTGCACAAACTTGCACACATGTGCATATAGGCACTTGCATGTGTAGACTTGTGCATGTGCCTGCTCACCTGTCCATATGGATCCTTGCACACACGTGCAAATGCCCCCACATGTCATTGCCCAGACTCACACGCAGGGCTGAAGCCACATGTGCTGTGCACGCCCTTGCACATACTTACACCCATGTGTGCACTCTTGCAGCAGCTGTATGTTGTTGCACATGCTAGAACACACGTGCACGTTTGTGTAGACTTGCACACATGCTCACACACACATGTACCCTGTTGCACACGCTCACACCCCCTCCCACACTTACAAGCCCCTGCATGCACGAGGCAGCGTGCTGGGGAAGCCAGGCTTCCCCCCACCTGGCTGCTGCTTTGGGACTAATTAATTAATTAACGACAACGCCAGGTATTAAAGCAGCTCAGTCTAATTACAGATCTTTCGGGGTGACGCGGGACACAGGAGGGAAGTGCTCTCCTCCTCCCCCTTCTGGGGCAGCCCCAGCGGGGCAACAGGGGCAGTGTGGGGTCCATGGAGGTGAAAGACTCAACGAAGTGTTCAAATTGACCCTTTTTGAGCCTCTTTCTCTATGTTTAAACCCTGCTCTGAGGTGAGGAGCAGAGAGGGGTTATGTCTGGATGCCACTAAAGGGCTGCAGGGGGAAAGGTGGGAGGCTGCTCGGCTCCTTGGATAGCCCTGGCTAGGGCTGGGGGATGATGGGCACAAAAGGGGGGTAGAGGGGGGTGAGGGAGTGAGGACGGGATGGAGGTGGTGAGGGATGATGGGGGTGATGGGGAGATGGCGGAAAGGGAGGGACACAGGTGGTCATGGGGGTGATGAGGGGATGAGGGGAAAGGCGGTACCTGGGGGGATATGAGGGGGATGGGGGGTGGCGGGGCATGACAGGGGGTGATAGGGGTCATAGGAAGTGATGGGAGAGATGGGGAGGGAGACAGGGGTGATGGAGAGGATGGGGGGTGATGGGGGATGTTGGGGGATGATGGGAAGTGATGGGCATGGTGGGGATGATGGGGGAGGGTGATGGAGGTGATGGGGGTGATGGTGGTGATAGGGGTAATGGGGATGCCGGGAGGTGATGGGGGCTGATAAGGACTCTGGTGATGGGGCGGGGCGGTGTGTGATGGTAATGACGGGGGCTGATGGACGGTGATGGGGGTGCTGGAGGTGACGGGGGCCGAATGGGGAGACACAGGGGGGCGATGGGCGCGGGAGGGTGACGAGCCGGGGGGGGTCGGGGTGAGCCCGGCAGGGCGCAGCGGTGGGCGGAGCCGGGACGCGCCCCGCCCCTCATTCCGCCCCGCTGTTCTGATTGGCCACCGCCCCCTCATTATGCTAATACAGCACCCCTGGGCGGGGCCGTCCGGCTGACGTCACGGGCCCGCTGGCGGGCGCGGGCCGAGCCGAGCCGAGCCGAGAGGTGCCGAGCGGGGCGGTGCCGAGCGGTGCCGAGGCGAGCCGAGCGGTGCCGAGTGGTGCCGAGCGGTGCCGGGCGGTGCCGAGCGGTGCCGGTCGGGCGGGGCGGGGCGCGGAACGGGCCATGGCGGCGGCGGCGGCGGCGGGCGAGGCGGCGGGGGCGGCGTTCAGCACCGCGAACAGCGGCCGGGTGAACGGGCTGAGCCGCCCGCCCGGCGCCATCGCCATGAAGGACCACGACGCCATCAAGCTGTTCGTGGGGCAGATTCCGCGCAACCTGGAGGAGAGCGACCTCAAGCCGCTCTTCGAGGAGTTCGGCCGCATCTACGAGCTCACCGTGCTCAAGGATCGCTTCACCGGCATGCACAAAGGTGCGGGGGCGGCGGGCCGGGGGACCCCCCGGGTGGGACGCCCTGACATGGGACACCCAGGTGTGGGGGCTGTCCTGAGGTGGGGTGGGACGCCCTGGGGTGGGGGGGGATCCTCAGTGAGGTACTGCTCTAGTGGGATGCTCTGAGGTGGGGGGCACCCTCAGTGAGGTACTGCTCTGATGGGACACCCTGAGGTGGAGTATCCTGAGATGGGAGACCCCTCAGGTGGAACATCACTGAGATGTGGCGCCTAAGTATGGGCCACCCGTGAGGCAGGACAAACAGGTGGAGGCAACCTCTCAGGTGAGGGATCCTGTCCCTCAGGTGGGATACTCCTGAGGTGAGGTGCCCCTCAAGTGGGACAGCCGGAGATGGATCATCTGGGCAAGGGGATACCTCTCAGTGGGATGCCCTGAGGTGGGATGCTCTGAGGGTGGGGACCTCTTGGTTGTGGTACCCCTGTGGTGGGATAAACTGAGATGGAGCATCCTGGCATATAGGGGGACCCCTGGGGTGAAGACACCCCTGAAGTGGGACACCCTGAGGCAAAGGCATCCAAGTGTGAGGCATCCCTGATATAGCACAGCCTGAGGCAGGATATCCCTGAGGCAAAGGCATCCCTGAAATGAGGTTCCCCATCAGATGGAACAACCTGAGGTTTGGTACCTAAGTGTGGGCCACCACTGAGGTGGGATGCCCTGAAATGAGGGTACCCCTCATGTGGGACATCCTGAGATGATGCACCCCAAGACAGGGATACCTCTAAGGTGGAACATCCCTGACGTGGAGACACCCATGAGGTGGGATAACCTGAGGTGGAGCACCCCGAGGTATAGATGGGATGCTTTGAGAGGGGGCACCATGATCAGGAAGTATGCCTGAGATAGGAGACACTGGTATGGGACACTTGTGAGATGGGGGTATCTGTGAGGTGATGTATCCCTGAATGGAGATACCCCTAAGGTGGGACATCCTGAGGTGGGGTACACAAATATGGGGCACACCCCTCAGTTGAGTTACACCTGAGGTGGAGATACCCTTGATGTGGAGGCTGCACCCACAAGTATGGGGCACCTCAAGGAGGGGAAACATTTGGGGTGAAGGTACAGCTAAGTTGGAGGCAACCTTGAGGTAGAGCACCCTGAGGTGGGAACACCCCAGTTTGGAGCATTTGGATATATGGCCCCTCGTAAGTTTGGGGTGCCCCTGAGGAAGAGGGGAGCACCCACCAGGGGTCAGGGTGCTGCTGTCGGGCTTGGGGACACCCCTGTGATCAGAGCATCACAGGGCAGGGAGCACTGCAATGGATTTTAGAACATCTGCCTGGCTTGGGGGCACCTGTCTGGCATCAGCACACCCACATGAGTTTTGTGCACCCCTGGAGTTGGAGCACCCCTGAGATGGAGTCACCCACAGTGGATGGGGACGTGCCATGTCTGCCCTGTGTCCCAGGTGCTGTGGCACTGTGGCACGGCGTGCGGAGCGGTGACGCACCGAGGGGTCGCACAGGCAGCGCCAAGGTCTGCACAGAACGCCCCACCCAAGCGCTGTTGTGTGCGGTGCCAGAGCAGGGTCAAGGCACCCCAGGTATCACCCAGACAGGAGCCACGAGCTGTCACCAAACCCCCGTGCCACGGCCAGCACCTGCTTTGCTGGGACTTTCCTGGGAAGCCAGAACTTGGCATTTATGGTTGCTGCCTTGTCGATGCCCTTCGGCTGTGGGGCAGCCGCCTGGATTCTGTCATTTTTGGCACTTTTGGCCTCCAGCATTTCTCCAGGTGTCTCTGAAGCTGCTTCTGTGCCTGGATCTATAGGATTTGCACCCTTCCAGGCTCCCTCTACGCTTCCTCCAGCGCGGGCTTCAACGTCTGCGGCCCAGCCGCATGATTTAATTGCGGACGCTCCTCTAATTTGAACGGCATCCTCCCTCCCGGCGAGCCTCCAGAGCAGAACCGCTCCTGCGCCAGCCCTCTGAACTTCTCCAGAATGCCCGGGCACCGTCTACATTGTCGCCTGCAGGAAAAACAGGGAAAAAAAAGAGAGAAAGACGAGCGGAGAGCAGGAAGCCAACATGATTACGGATGGTAAACACTGGAAATGGCACCGGGACTGAGGCGAGCTGCTGTGCAGATCTCCCCTTCCCACCCGCAGTGGGAGAGTATTGATCTGGGGGGATCTCTCCTTGCTCTCCGTTGAGGGCAGATGTCCCCAGCACCCCAAGGCAGGTGAGGGACCCCATCCCGCAGCGTCCCCCGCCCTGCCGCCATGCTCCCTCTCCTCCCAGGCACGCTGATTGTACTTATTAAGAGTTATTAATACTTAATCAGCTGGCGGATTTAATTGTGCCAATATTAAAAATGCATCAATGTCAATTTTATTCATTAAATATTTACTTTGTTGAAGGGAAACTGTTTTGCTGCTGTTTTAATATCACTTTCAGATGCTTTTGGATATGACCCCGGCAAATTGGGGGGGAGCCCTCAGGGAGGGAGCGGTGCAGCGGTGGCACGGGCACCAGGAATGCTTCAGGAGAGACGGAGCGAAGAGGACCGGACCCTGTCCCCAGGGCTCTCGCTCGTTGCTGCCAGCTCTGCGAGCGAGTGGCTCGGCAGCGTGAGTCAGCGTGGGAAAACCTCACCCCAGGCGTATTCCCGATTTCCAAAGCGCCATGATGTCGAAGGAGCCGGAGTGCCTTCGCCACATGAATCTCACCCCAAGGAGGATGCTTAGGCTGGGGGAACTGTGGTGGCAAGAGAGGGTGCACAGCCTCGACACCTGGAGATCTGCTTCCTGGAGGACTTGGGCTGTGGCTTTTCCCAGGGCTGGGGCCAGAGCGCCACTGCCCATGTGCTGCCTGCTCCCCCTGGCTCCTTCCTTCATCCTGCTGCTCCATCTCCTACCCTGTTCTGGGGGTGAACTGTGACCCTGTGTGTGCCCATCTGGGTGTAGAGTACCAGGGCACCAGGGTGCTGGATGCCATGGAGCCGGGGTGTCAATGTAACAGGATGGTGGATGCCATGGTGCTGAGCTGCTGGATGCCATAATGCCATGGTGCCAGATCATCAGGGTGCTTGTTGCTGGATGCCGTGGTGCTGAGGTGATGGATGCCACCATGCCAGGGTGCCAAATCCCAGGTTATAGACTGCCAGGATGCCAGGATGCTGAATGCCAGGGTGCCAGGATGTCAGGGTGCTGGGATGCTGGATGCCGAATGCCAGGGTGCCAGGATGTCAGGGTGCTGGGATGCTGGATGCCATGGTGCTGAGGTGCTGAATGCCACCACGCCAGGTTGCTGGGGTTCTGGATGCTGCTGTGCCAGGGTGACAGAGTGCTGGGATTCTGGATGCCACAGGGCCAGGGTTCTGGATGCCAGGGTATCAAGTCCCAGCGTGCTGGTGTGCTGGGTATCACTGTGCTGGATGCCAGGATGCTGAGACACCACAGTGTCATATCAGCTGTGCCACCAGCTCCCTGTGTGCACAGGGCGCTGTGGCAATCCCAGGCCGGACACTGATCCTGTCTCCCTGTCTCCACAGGCTGTGCCTTTCTCACCTACTGCGCCCGTGACTCCGCACTGAAGGCACAGAGTGCCCTGCACGAGCAGAAGACGCTGCCAGGGGTAAGTGACACGAGGGCGTTGGGGTCAGTTGGGGCAGGGCCTTGTGACAACTCCCTGAAGCATGGGAGAATTAAGTGACACTGAGGTGGTCGAGTTGAGCTGGAGCAGCACCTGGTGACACCTCCCAAGGCGTGGAAGCCTTAAGTGACGCGGAGGGATCGGGGTGAGCCAGGGCGGGGGCTGGTGACACCTCCCCGAGGCGCGGGAGCCACTTCCAGCAGCCGCAAACCAAGGCATTGATTTTCCAGCCGCCCGCGTGCTGTTGCGCTTTCTGTGGGCTCCGACCTCCCGAGCTTAACAAAGTGAAAATAAATATTTAATTATTCGCCTAAATAAAAATCAATAGGCCCGCGGGTTGGCTGGGGAAAGAGCCGGGGCCCATGAATATCAATCCCTGTTATGTGTGTGTGTAGCTGACAGAGGGGGATGAGGTTTGCGGGGATGTGGCTTCCTGAGCTGTGCTCTCACCAGTGGGGCCACACATCAGTAGGTTCAAGAGTTAACAGCCCACCTTGGCAGCCTAAAGGAGGCCGGGGTCAGGCCCTGCCTGGGGATTCTCATCAGGCACACACGTGTGCGTATTGCTATTGCCATGGCCACTCACCTGGGGGTTGGGGGTGTGTGTGTGAGCACGCGTGTGCACATGGATGTGCGGGTGCACGCCCCACAGGGGCTCACAGCTGTGTTCACCCCTCTGCGTGTGTGTGCACACAGCGGTGCAGGGGACTGTGTGCTGCTGCTCACACCCCTGTGCCCATGCAGGTTCTCACACCTGTGTGTGCTCACCTGTCTGTGCCTGAGCACCCCTTCTGTTCTTGCACACACCCACGTGTACGCACTTGTGTACGCTTGGGTACACACCTGTGAGTGCATGTGAACACACCTCTGTGCCTGTGCACATCTCTCTGCTTGTGCACACAAGCACACTCATGTACATTTATGTACAACCCCTCTACCTGTGCTCACCCCCTGCACCTGCTCGTACCCCTTGTACTCACACACATATACCTGTGCTCACATACCCTGTACCTGCTCATACCACCTATACCTGTGCTCACCTCCTGGACCTGCTCACACACATCTACCTGTGCTCACACCCCTGTCCCTGCTGACCCCCTGTACCTGTGCTCACACCCCTGTCCCTGCTGACCCCCTGTACCTGTGCTCACACCCCTGTACCTGTGCTCACACCCCTGTCCCTGCTGACCCCCTGTACCTGTGCTCACACCCCTGTACCTGTGCTCACACCCCTGTCCCTGCTGACCCCCTGTACCTGTGCTCACACCCCTGTCCCTGCTGACCCCCTGTACCTGCGCACCCCCCGTGTTCCCACCCTCGGCCCCTGCCCCAGCCAGGCCCCGCCCCCGGCGTGTCGGGGGACCGGGGGCGTGTCCAGACGGTGACGGGCGTGTCCCCAGAGAGGCCCCGCCCCCCGCCTGGCCCGGCCCGGCTCGGCTCGGCGGGGCTGCGGCTGCCCCGCCCTGTGCCCCGCCCCCCGCGCGCCGCTGCGCGAGCCCAGCCGAATCTGGCCGAGCCGAACCGAACCCAGCCGAGTCTAGCCGAACCCAGCCCAGCCGAGCCCGGCCTTGCTGAGCCGAGCCGAGCTAAGCCGAGCCCGGCCGAGCCGTCTCGGGTGGAGCCGAGCGCAGCCGAGCTCAGCCGAACCGCCTCGGTGGAGCCGGCGGTCCGGCCGGTCCGGCCATGCAGCTGCCGCAGGTGCCGGCGCCGGGGCCGCGGCCGCCCGTGCTGTGGGTGCCCGCCGGGTCCAAGATCCTCTGCATCGAGGTAGGGCCCCGCCTTTGTCTGCCGCCGCCTCCGCCCGGCCCGGCACGGCCCGGCACCGCCCGGCAGCCTCCGCTGGCGCCGGGGTGGGGGGGCTGCACCGGAGGGGCTGTAGAGGGATGTGGGTGATGGCGAAGGGGTGTATCTGCTCCCGGGGATGCTGTGTGGGAGTGGGGATGATGGCGAGGGTGTGGATCCTTGCTCCTGGGGATGGGCATGGAGGGGTGTTGATGGTGAGCAGGGCGTATCTGCACACAGGGATGGGGATGGAGGGCTGTTGGTGAGAGGGTGCATCTACTCCCAGGGATGGGCTGGGGATACAGCAGTGTTTGTGGTCAGGGTGTAATTGCACACCGGGAGGGTGGGTGTGAGTGTGGGTGTTGGTGATGGAGTGTATCCGAACCCAGGGATGGGAATGAGGATGGAGCAGTGTTGGTGAGGGGGTGTATCTGCTCCCAGGCATAGGATGGGGATGGAGTAGTGCTGGTGATCAGGGTGTATTTGCACACAGGGACGGGGATGGAGGGATGTTGATGAGCAGGGTGAATGTGCACACAGGGTTGGGGTGTGTGAGTGGGCGTGTTGCAGGGTGTATCTGCACACAGGGATGAGGCTGGAGGGGTGTTGGTGGGGGGTGTATCTGCTCCCAGGGATGGGGTGGGTGGGTGTGGGTGTTGCAGGGTGTATCTGCACGCAGGGATGAGAATTGGGGGTGTTGGTGATAGGGTGTATCTGCTCCCAGGGATGGGTGTTGGGGATGGAGGAGTGTTGGTGAGGAGGGTGTATTTGCATAGAAGAATGGGGTTGGAGGGGTATTGGTGAGAGGATGTTTCTGCACCCACAGATGGGGTGTGTGGGTGTGAGTGTTGCTGTGCAGGGTGTATCTGCACCCAGGGATGGGGTGCATGTGTTGGCAGGGTGGTTGTTGGTGATGAGGGTGTATTTGCACTCAGGGATGGGGGCTCTGTGTGTGTGTGTGGCCGAGAGGGTGTATGTGCACCCAGGGAAAGGGAGGGTGTCGGCAGAGGGGTGTTGGTGATGTATCTGGACCCAGGGACGCTGTGTGTGGTGTGGGTGTTGGTGAGGAGGGTGTTCTGGCACCCAGGAATGCTGGGTGGGGGGTGTTTGCAGGCAGGGATGGAGGATGATGGTGAGGAGGTGTATCTGCCCCCAGGGATGGGTTTGGTTTGTGTGTTGGCTGGAGGGTGTATTTTTCCACCGCAGGTTTGTGTGTGTGGTGCAGGTGTGCAAGGGGCAGTGCTCGGGGGGTGTTGCACCCACAGGCAGTGCAGGGAGGGGTGTGTGTGTTGGCAGGGGTACGGCTTTGACCCCCGGTATGTGCAGGTCGGTGTTGATGGATGTGCAAGCACGTGGGTGTCTGTGTGGGAAGAGGAGCTTAGGGTGTCCTTGCCCCCAGTGTTGGTGGCAGGGTGTGGGTGCACATGGGCCGGGGGAGTGGCAGCAGTGGGGGTGTGTGGGCACACCGGGTGTGATGGGGAGTGCAGGTGTGCTCAGGTGTTGCGCTGGGCTCAGGTGTGCAGGGTGACCCTGGGGGTGGGATGTGGATGTTGCTGAGGATGCTGTGAGCCCACCCAAGGTGTCTGTGTGCCCATAGAGGGCTCCTGGGGGTCCCAGTATGGGTCCTGCTGCTACAACGGGGAAACTGAGGCAAGGGGCATTGTATCCCCAGTGCTGGCTGTGTATCCCAGGGTGCATGCCCGTGGTTGTGTGTGATCCATGGCAGCAGGCAGGGCTCTGTGGGAGTTGCGTGGCATGCGGGCTGGGGCTGTGTGCGGTGGTGCGTGGCCGCACGTGGGTGCGCAGCGGTGCTGGGACAGACGCGCAGTGTGCGCAGCGCTGCGTGGGCACACGTGTGCGGCTTCCGAGGTGTACGGCTGTGCCAGGGGGTTTGGGGTGGCTGTGCTTGGGGGGTGCTGGGTGTCTGTGGTTGTGTTTAGAGGTGTGTGGGTGTGTGCAGGGTGTGCCAGGGTGGTCATACGTGTGCAGGGTTGTGCAGTGGTGTGGCTGTCCCCAGGCTGGCTGTGTGGCCTGGCTGTGGGTTGCCCCCAGGGCTCTGTCAAGGTATTCCTGTGATGAGTGACTGCCAGTACCTCGGTTCCTGTCTCCCTGGGGTGGCACGGACTCCAGACTCCCACAGGCACTCGCTGCTCCAGTGTCACCTGCCACCTCCATCTCATTTGGGTGCACGGTGGCCTGCTGGATCCTCTGGCTGTTGATTGTGAGGACAAGGAGGAATGTGATGCCAAGGAAGGAACACAGGCCAGAAGTGACCCACTGAGCACATCCCCTGGCAGTGATTCTATGGGCTGGCCCTCCCTGGTACCTAGGTTCTTGGGGGGCTCCAAATTTGGGTGAGGGACAGTGCCTGAGCAGTCAGGAGGTGGTTTAGCGACCACTCGTGGCCTCCTGTGCTGTGGAACACCAGTGGTTTGGTCATGGGGTAGCTGGGACTTCGTGAACTGCTGATGATGGTTGGTGCTGGAGCACCCCAAGCAGGGTGTCACTATGTCCTTGGGTGTGGGAGATAGCTGGGAGTTGGGAATGGATGGATGGATGGATGGATGCTGTGGGAGTGGAAAGGTGGGTGGTGGCAAGATGGGAGATGGATGGGCAGATGGAACAGGGGTAGAAGGGTGTTGAGGGATGGATGGGTGTTGGGGGATTGATAGGGGATCTTGGCAATATAGATAGATGCTATGGGAATGGATGGGTGTATGGGGATGAATGCTGGTGATGTGGATGGCTGCAGTGGGGAAGACAGGTATTTGGGGGGTGGATGGACGGATGTTGGCGATGTAGATGGATGCTATGGGAGTGAACGGGTGTTATGAGGATGGGGATATGGATGGGTTCTACGGGGATGGATGGATGCTATGGGAATGGGTGTTGGAGTATGGCTGGATGAATCCAGGGGGAAGATGGGTGTGTGGGTGTCCGGGATGGATGAATGGATGGATGGGTGTTGCAGGGTGGGCAGGTGGGTGTCAGGAGCAGGGGAAAATGCCTAGGTGGCTGTTTGGTGTGGGAGGATGGATAGAGGGCTGTGTGGACACAGTGCAGGGGTGCTGTGGGGACAATCAGGAGCTCTGGGTGCCACAGGGGGTCACTGAGCACCCTGTGGTGGGCATGTCGTGATGTCAAGGGTGCCAAAACCCCTTTCTGGGGGTGTCTAGAGGCCAGGACAATTTCTCCTTGGTGTGGTGTGGCAGCCCTAGGGTAGGTTAGCTGGTCCCTGAGGCCTGACATTTATAAACATCAGCCGCTCCCGGGGAATCAATACAGTTTAATAACCGGCGAGCGGAGACGGGAGACACATCAAAATGACACTCTGCGGCTCCGTAAATGTTATTCTAAATCATCCTCACTGGGTTTATTACATTAAGCATACAGCAGCGGGCATGGGAAATTTATTCCATCAAAGGCCATCACGCTGGTAAATGGGGCTGGCGGGTCAGTGGAGGGGGGCAGCCCCCCCCAAAATGGGGTTTCCTCCTCCCGGCTGTGGCAGGGATGTGAGGGACAGCGGGGTTCTGGGTTTAGGGTCTGGGTGCTGTCAAACCCTCCAGAGTTTGGGGTGGGCCAAATCCTGCCCCTGCCCAGAGTGGATGTTTGGGGGACTGGTGACATAATGGGTGACACTGTGAGGTGTCCCTCAGTGCTGCTCTGTGCCATCCCATGACTCCTGGGGACTCAGTCCTTTCCCTGGACCATCCCCAGCTCTGCGCTGACATTTCTCTCCACGTTTCCCTGGAGACGAGGCGGTTGCTGTGGAAACCTCCCTCCTCTTCTCTCTTACCCATCCTCTTCCTCACCCTGATGTGGGGGGGACTGTCTCTGCCCCCACCCAGCCCCAAAATTTAGGGACCCCTTCCAGGGGTGCAGCAGAGGGCACCTGGGATGGGGTGCACACACACATGGGGGCGACTGTTCCCGTGTGTGCTCAAGGCGTGTTCGTGTGCGCACCCCCGCGCCGTCATGTGTGACATCTCGCTGTTGCCGTGGCGACCCCATCGAGCACATGGCTCGGGCTCCGCAGCATCGCGGGGGAAGCACGCTTGTTGCCATGGAAACGGCCATAATTGTAGCATTTTTCGGCTAAAAGAGGGGAAAAAGGAGGGGGAGAGAGGAGGAGAAATGGCTCCATGGGGCAGCGGGCCACGGATGTGCCTGCCAGCCCAGTGTGTCCTGCTGCACACGGGTGTCATGCTCGTGGGTGCACATGGCCGTGACAAGGAGGAGGCCAAATTTGGGTGAGGTTTGGGAAAAGGAGGGCAATGGTGCCAGAGGGGCCGGGGCTGGCGGGGTGCTACTGCTGCCTCTGCAGTCCTTTGCAGTCGAGGAAAGCAGGCAGGCGGCCAAGCCTGGCACTGGCGGCCCCGCGGGCGCATGCAGCACCGGGTGCCCATAGCCAGGGCCGGAGCATTGCCCTTTGCACATGGCATCCCTGGGTCTCTGTGGCCACAAGCCCCAGATCTATTCACGCAGGTCCCTCCCCTTTTCCCCAGCTCCTGGTGCCAGTCATTGGCCAAATCCTGCTGTTCCCTATGGAGAGGGTTCAGGGGCCACCACACTGACCACCCACTCTCGCTTGTGTTGCAGATGAACCGCCCCATCCAGGTGAAGCCGGCCGACAGCGAGGGCCGAGGAGGTAGGTCCTCAAGTCTCCAGATGCCTGGCATGGGCAGGGGGGCACAGGGTCATCGGGGGGTGATGGGGGACATGGTGGCATCACGAGGGCTGATGTGTGAAGGTTGGTTTGGAGAGAAATTGAGGAAAGGATCTGCCTTTGCTGGTGGCACCAAACATGGGTGCAGGGCAAATGCCATCTTCTCCGTGCCTGTCTGGTCAGCAGGGGGAAACATCCTGATGTCATCCTGGGAATGTCCCGACATCGTACCATGAGCATCCCAACATCCTGGGGGGCAGAGCACTAGCCAGCCGTTCTCCCTCACCACCTTAATTTACCAAAAATTCCCTCTCCAGAGCTGTCTGTGGGGATCCTGGGGCAGGAGCTGGCTTCATATGGCCCAAGCCCCTCTCAGTTCTTTGTGAGCATTTGCCACTCATTGGGCTGTGGCATTGCCAGGCTGAGGTGATCATTTGAGCAAAATCACAGGAACTGGATCAAAATCCCACATCTGTTGTGTTGCTGGGCAGGTAGGCACTATCGGACATGCAGGATGCTCTCATGGGGCCGCCTGCACTTGGCAGGATGGTTGGGGTAGCTCCCCCCCCCATCCAAACCCTGTTATTAAACACTCCGGGAGCTGGTCCCAGCATGTCCCAGAGGGACCTGGCAAATAAATTACCCACTTACCGAGTGTAATTGGTGAAGGATTAAAAATCGATGGGTGAGCTGGGGCTCCCATCTCCAGCCCCCTCGCCCAGGAGGCAACGCTGGGCTGCCCAGCCCACTCCCCCTGGGAGGTGGTTTATGTTTAACTAGACAACACACAAGCCCTATTCCCTTAACTAATTTTCCTGCTACCTTAACGGACTAAACATTCATCGTCTCCTGCCATTATTTATTTATTTCCCCAGCAACGCTCTTGACAGGGCACCTTATTTCCTTTGTCAAATGCCATTAGCGTGCGGCGGGAACGCGCGGCCGCACAAGACAGATGCTGGTAATAATCATGAAATTCTCATTATTTACTATCCCTTCTCTTGTGTTTGGGTTATTGATGTCCTCTGGGCACGGCTGGAGGCTGCGGGTTGTTCTGCGAGTCGATCACACGAGGGTGATCACGTCCAGTTTGTGGATTCTCTTTGTTCCACCGCATCCCACCCTAGTGCTGGGGAGCCAGGCCCCCCATCCCTAGGAAAAGCCCCAGCTCCACTCCCTAAAACAATGGCTCTTCCAGAATTCACTCCTCAGCAATTTCCCCACAGGAGAGGTTTTCCCGTCCTGAGTGTTCTGTAGGATGGAGATTATAAGCCTGGCACCTTCTCTGTAGGATCGGTGTTGCTCCCTCCCTCTGATGTCACTTGGCTCCTTCCCCTCCATACACCATTTTTGGTGAGGGGTTGGGATGGTGAGTGACCTCCCACTCTCTGATGGGCTTGGTTTTGTTTTTAGAAGACAGGAAGCTCTTTGTGGGCATGCTGGGGAAGCAGCAGAGCGAGGACGACGTCCGCCGCCTCTTTGAGCCCTTCGGCCAGATTGAGGAATGCACCATCCTCCGAGGGCCTGATGGAGCCAGCAAAGGTGGGCTTTGGGGTGCCAGGTGGGCATCCTATGGACCCACAATGGCTAAATCCAATCTGTTCCATGTTCCCTCTGTTCCCTTAGGTTGTGCCTTTGTGAAATACGGCAGCCACGCCGAGGCACAGGCTGCCATCAACAGCCTGCACGGCAGCCAAACTATGCCGGTAAGTGCCAGGCTCGCACCCTGCCCTGGCTGACCCCATGCTGCCTGCTTAATACAATCACCCACTAATTTGATCCTCAGTCTAACTGCATCAAAATCCTGCAGGCTGGCAATTTGTTGGCCACATCACCCCAGGTTCCTCCTTGCCAAGGTGCTGAGCCCTATAGGTGGGAGCATGGGGCTAATTCTCTCCATGCCAGAGAAAGGGGCAGTTTAATTAACGCTGAAGGTCAGAATTGTGGACAAGGAAAGGGAAAGGAAGCAGAGGTCAGGGAGCTGCCACTGGGGAGAAAAACTGGCTATAATTAAACCTCACATCGATCATTGGTTGCTGCTGCCAAGCTGGGCAGCGTCCCCAGGGCTGAGGATGCTACGGACACTGCGAGCCACACCCACGGTGGGTACACAATTTGGGGCATTGCTGTGGTCCCACCATCAGCCCCATCTTCCCCCCACCTCAGGGCGCCTCGTCCAGCCTGGTGGTGAAGTTTGCAGACACAGATAAGGAGAGGACCCTGCGGCGGATGCATCAGATGGCAGGGCAGCTGGGCATCTTCAACCCCATGACCATCCAGTTCGGCGCCTACGGGGCCTACACACAAGCGGTAGGAGCTGGTGCACACTGGGGCTTTGGGGGACCCCTGTGGGTGGGGGGGCTGGTTTGGCCCTTGAAAGCACCGGTGCCAGGATGTGTGGATGCCTGGGAGGGCTGGTATATCCCAGTTTAAGGGCAATTGCAGGGCTTCCTCCCCATAGCTGAGAGTGGTTGTAGGATTCAGTGGTCCCATATTTAGCATCACCAAGACCAAGACTCCTGTCCCTGGATCTGGCAGCCGGTGGCATTTATCCCTCGGAATCCATCCAAAGCAGAGATGCTGATTTGCCCTCTCTCTCCTTCTCTCTGCCTCCTGTGCTCTGTCTCTTTTCCCCCGTTCTTTTCTGAAGATCATGCAGCAGCAGGCAGCCCTGATGGCGGCCGCGCAGGGCACCTGCCTCAACCCCATGGCTGCCATCGCTGCCGCCCAGATGCAACAAATGGCTGCCTTCAATGTCAGCGGGCTGGTGGCTGCCCCCCTCACCCCCTCTTCAGGTAGGACCCCCGCATTTGCCACTTGACATCCTCGGGAGGGCACTCTCGGGGTGGTGCCGGCCCTGACGCCATGCTCCTGCAGGTACAAGCACCCCTCCCGGGATCAGCACGGCGCCGGTGCCCAGCATTGCCACGCCCATTGGGGTGAACGGCTTCAGCCCGCTGCCGCCCCAGACCAACGGGCAGCCCGCCTCCGAGACCATCTACACCAATGGCATCCACCCCTACCCAGGTACAGCCCTCCCGGGGCTCTGCCGCGGGCCCCGGGCAAGGGGAGTGTGCTTGGCTCATGCGGGATGCTCAGGGGGTGCTCCCCATCCCAGGAACATGCTGGATGAACCTGCCGTGTGCTCCCCGTGTGTTCCCGTGGCATCACTGCAGGGAGGAGGGAATTCAGGCAGGGAGCAGCTCTGCCCCTCCATGGCAGCGCTTGGTCAGGAACCCTTTCCCATAGGAGCTGTGCATGCATCCCTGGCTTTCTCTGGCTTACTCTATCTTCCTTCTCCTTTCTCTTCTCTTCCCAGCTCAAAGCCCCACGGTGGCAGACCCCCTCCAGCAGGCCTACGCCGGCATGCAGCACTATGCAGGTCTCAAACTTCGCTTCCCACTCCTTCCCTCTTTCCCCTCTTTGCTCCTCACCCTTATTTTTGGGAGGTGAACATCATCCTGGGGTTGAACATTGGACTGGGACAGTGTATTTGGGCACGGATTCATGAGGGGACCAGCGGGTGCTGAGCCCTGGCAGGAGCTCCAGGGTGGTGATACCAATGAAAGCACAGTCCCCTTATCCCACTGGCTCCTGTTATGGCCCCTGTGCAAATTCTGGATAGTGCAAAGTGAATTTTCATACCCATGGGGCTGGGAGAACTCCATGGGGGAACCCTGGCAGTGGTATTGAGAAGAGCAGGCAAGATTTGGGAGGTGACAGAGGGCCACCTCCACACCAAGACACCAGAAGTCTTTGGATGTTCATCGTGTGGCCAAGTCTGATGGCCAAGGACATGGGCCGTGGAGGGAAAGGAGACAGAGCCTCCCATGGAAAGCCCAGCAGCCATTTAATTAGGAACATCGACAGCAACGTCTAGATTTGCAACAGAAAATCAAGTTTTGGACCCAAATCTTTGGGGTTTTTCAGCTAAAAGTACTTCATCTTTCCTCAGCCTTGAGGCTGTATTACTGCTATCACCAGCATTTCTCCTGGGGGAGCTGTTCCCATATCCCTGGTGTATCAGGAGGGGTGGGAAAGGCAGAGCCAGCAGTCGTGGGGCAGGAGAGGCCCCTTGATCCCAGATGGCAGCAGGGGACCTGCCTGTCCCAGCCCTCTCTGTGGCTGGGGTGGGTGCTGTGGCCTCAGCTTCTTGTTTCTCTCTTCCAGCAGCATATCCCACTGCCTACGCTCCCATCAGCCAAGCCTTTCCCCAGCAAGCGCCCCTCATCCCGCAGCAGCAGAGAGAAGGTGAGGGGTGGGGCTCACCCCATGTGGGGCCGGTGGCTCCTCGGTGTCCCCCCGGGGTGACCCCACCTCGTAGCTGACGTGTCCTGTCCTTTGTGTGTCACCCAGGTCCCGAGGGCTGTAACCTGTTTATTTATCACCTGCCCCAGGAGTTCGGGGACGCGGAGCTCACGCAGATGTTTTTGCCTTTTGGCAACGTCATCTCTGCCAAAGTCTTTGTGGACCGTGCCACCAACCAGAGTAAATGCTTTGGTAAGTCCCAGGGTGTGGCTCTCTCTCCCTGGTGTCCCAGCTCAGGGCTCCAACTCTTCCCAGTCCCCAGCTCAAGGTTCCAGCTGTCTATAACATCGCAGCTTGGAGATCTGGCTCTTCCTCAACATCCCAGCTCAGGGGTCTGGCTCTCTTCAGCATCCCATTTAAAATATCTGATGCTCCTCAACATCCCAGCTCTTACCAGTCTCTAGCTCCAGAGTCCCATTCTTTCTGGTCTCCAACCTGAAGGTCCAGCTCTCCTAATATTCCGGCTCAAGAGATCTGTCTCTCCCCAAATTTCAGCTCAAGGATTTGGCTCTCCCCACTCTTCCCAGCTCGGGAGTCTGACTATTCTGGACAACCCAGCAGAGAGCATCTCCATCTTGGGCATCCAGCTCTCCCTGAAGTCCTTGCTTGAGAGTCTGTCTCTCCAACATCTCATATTGGGGATGTCTCTTTCCCAGCTCAGATGGAGTCCATGTCTCCCTGCTGTCCCTTGCTTGGGGTCCAACTCTTCCCTATGTCCCCAGTTCAGGGATTTGTACCTCCCTCTCACAGACTTCGGTGTCCCCACAAACCTGGTCGGTTTGGTGTCCCCATAGACTCTTTCACTGTTGTGTCTTTGGAGGCCCTATCACCTCAGGATCCCTGCAGACCTGGCCTACAGATGTCCCCTGAGCCCACACATCCCATCCTGGTGTCCCCACACACCCCGTCATCCTGGTATCTCCACATACCTGCAGACCTTAGTGTCCCCACAGACCACATCACCTCAGTGTCCCTGCAGCCCCTATGACTTTAACAGACCCTGTCATCCCAGTGACCCCACAAATCCCACCCTGTAGTGTCCCTGCAGATGGCTCCAGTGTCCTCTTATGCTGCTGTCCTCACAGCCTTGTCAGCTCAGTGTCCCTGCAGACCTCGGTGTCCTTGCAGGTGCCATCACCTGTCACCCAGTCCCCTGCAATCCGGGGTTGTGATGTTACCCAAGGACCCTTTCTCCCAGCACTCCCAAACCAGGAGCATCCCAGAGGATTTCAGTGCCTGGGTTGAGGCGAGGCAGCCGCCTGTGATGCGTGTGGTGACAAGCCCCTGTGTCCCCTCCCCGCCAGGTTTCGTCAGTTTTGACAATCCGACGAGTGCTCAGGCGGCCATTCAGGCCATGAATGGCTTCCAGATCGGCATGAAGAGGCTAAAAGTGCAGCTAAAGCGGCCGAAAGATGCCAACAGACCCTACTGACCCCAGCTCAGCCTGCGGAGAGGTGAGGGGGCCTGGCCCTGGGGGACGTGGCGGTTGTGGAGCGTCCCCCTGTCCTCATCAGGGATCTCTGCCTGGCACCACCCACCCAAAGGATCTGGTCCCTCGCTCCATGCCCCAGAAGCAGGCTGACAACCTTTTCCTTCTGTTTCAGGTCGGACGTCCCGCAGTGTCTGACGACTTTCCCCTTCCCCAAGTGCAGTATCCAAACCCGTAACTCTCTTTCTTTGCAACACATCCCGGAGGAGGAAAAGGAGGATGAGGAGGAGGAGGTGAAGGAGAAAATGGCAAAGAAGAGAGCGTTTTGGTCGTAGCTTTTCCTTTTTGAATTTTTTCCCAGACTGGTCTTGTTTGTTGTTTAATGGGAATGAGAGGAAGACAAGGAAGGAGGGGAGCGATGCGGTGCCGGGGTTGCGATTCGCCGCCGGCCGCTCGCCAGGACTCACCGGATCCCTCACTGGGAGCAAGGCTGATGGCTCCGGGCAGCCGGGCCACAATCTACCTTTGTTTTTTGGGTTTTTTTTTAAAGCACTCATTTGCTGCTACCGATTTCCCAGGAGAAACGAGGAAAAGAGGCTCCAAATGGATTCTTAAACCAAAGCCGGTGGGACGGGACCAGCCTCGGGCGCTTCACCTGGAGGATGTTTGTTTGGTTGATAAAGAAAAACGGCAAGATTTTCCTTTTTCCCTGCATTGGGGGGAAAAAAAGAAGGATCAAAGTATGTTGGACTTATAGAAGATATATATAAATAAGTATATATATATATATATCCCATGGAGCAGGGTGGCGGGACACGCGCTTCCCCTGCTTGTCACTGGCACAGGGACATAGGATTACTTGTTTCAGAGTCATATCATTCCTTAGAGTTTAGGGACCAAAGGACTATTGCTTTTTTTAAATATATCTATAAATAAATTAATTTAAAAAAAAAAAAACAAAACAAAAGAAAACACACAAAAAAACTTCGGGAAAGGAGGAGAAAATCCAACAAAAATTAAGAAGGTTGAGTAAAACCCTCGGGCGTTCAGAGCCACGAGCGTTTCCTACAGGGCTCGGATTTGGGGGGTTCAAGGGCTCGGTTTCGGGGGCCAGTTCGTGGCTGGGGACTGGGGGGATGCAGAGGGGATTTGAGGGGGGGACTGCAGTGGCTCCCCCAGCTCCATGGCCCAGGGGGAATTGGAGCCCCTCGGTCGCCTCTGGCAGAGGGTGGAGTGATATGGTTCTTTGCATTTTGGGTTGGTTTGGGGGGATTTTTGGGTTGGGATTTTTTTTTTTCAGCCAAAAAAACTTAAAAAAAAAAAAAAAAGAAAAATGTGAGGTTTCAGCCGAAATGAAGTGAAGCGAAATAAACTTATTTTGTCAAAATCGTCACCTTCGTTGGTTCTTTGGAGCAATCACTGCCGCGTCCACCACCGAACACGACACCCGGGCCCCCTTTATGGCCAGCTCAGCTCCAGATGGGCTGGAGCATCCACCAGGATTTGGTGAAGCTGGGAGAGCACCATAGGCCTCTCTTTTTATTTGCTTTTTCACAGGAAATGCTAATTTTTGGAGGAATTCACCCTGGCTGCAGAGGGAATCAGGACAGGACACAGCCCTGTGGTTTCACTGATCTTTCCAAGGGACAGAGGAGCTTCAGAGAGATGTGGCCATGTCCCATGGGATGTCCCTTCGCACTCGTGGGTACAGCTGAGTGACTGCCATGATCCCAGGAAAGTGATTTATTTTTTATTTGAGGAGAGGAAAAAAACCCAAACCCCACAAATTTAAGCAAACTGCCCCCACCAAGGGGCAGGTGGCAGGGCTAGGGGCAAGGGACTGGCCACCAGCCCAGGTTTGGGTGGCCCTTGGATACTTGGAGCAGCCAGTGTGGGACAAGTGAGGATAGACAGATGTTGGGATCCGGGGGGACAGAGGACAGGGATGTGCCAGAAGTGACACTGAATGCACCCATTGGTGTAATGATCCTGTCAGGACTCAGGTGGTGTCTGTACCAAAACCAGGATAATTCTTACAATGGTTCTTAAATTCCATCATAAATCCTGGCAGAAATCGTGGCCTTGCGCTGCTGTGACTGACCTGGAGAGCCCCTGGACCGTGGGGAGCAGCAGTGCCCAGCCCCCTCTGCCACCCTGGGCCTTGGCAGCCTCTGGGCTGTCTCTGCTGGATTTCCATCCAGGTTTGGGTCCAGCAGGATGCAGCTGTGCTGGCACTGCCTCCGTGCCCATGGAGTTACTGGGATGGGCTTGGGCTGAAGCAAAATGCTGTCCCTGGGAGGTTCCTTCCCATTTGAATCTCTGCTGCAGCACCGGTGCCTGGGGGCTGCTCCGTGGGGTCCCATGTCCCGGCCCGAGGCACAATCCCTTCTCCATGGTGTTCCACCTCCACAGCACCATCCCTTTGCCATGGTGTGATGGGAGAGTGCTTCCCTCCCAGCCCTATCCCAAAGCTGCATCCATTCTCTATGGCACTTCCCCACTATCCCATCCCTTCCCCTCAATCCCATCCCTTCCCCAAGATACCATTCCATGTTTCTCACCTCTTCTCCACCATCTTATCCTTTTCTCTTGATCCCATCCCTTACCTGTGCCCCCATCCCTTCCCCAGGTTCCAATCCCTTCCCTGTGCCCCTATTCCTCCCTCACACTCCCACCCCTTTCCTTGAATCCCAGTCCTTCCCTGTGACCCCATCCCACCCCTTCCCTGTGATCCCATCCCTTTCCTGTGCCCCTTTCCTCAAAACCCCATTCCCACCCTGTACCCCCATCCCTTCCCCAGCATCCCCTTCCCATACCCCACACTTTAATTCCAAGTTAAATCCACAAACACTGATTCCTTTTCTCTTTTTTTTTCCTATGTTTTTGGGTTTGTTTTGGTCTTTTTTTTTTTTTTTGCTTCAGTTTCTCATCATTGATAAAAACGCCGTCGCTGCCAATGCCAGGAGGGGCCGTCCCCAGCCACGCTGGTCCCACAGCTCCTTCTCCAGGCTGCCACAGAGTCGGGGACAGTGGGAAGGGGACAGGGAGGGGATAAGGGACTGCTGAACCCGCCTGGAGCTCACAGGGTGCCCAATGCCTATGTACAGGTGGAGCCGCCGGTGTTGCCCCGGCTCTGCCCTGCCCGGGGGGCCCAAAACCTGCTCGGCCCTGCCCAGCCTTGCCCGGGGGCTCACTCGTGCCCAGGGGGTCCCAGGGTCCCACTGCCACCACCGCTCAGTTTGTGTACACCTGAGTCCCGATCACACGCATGATCTCCTTCTGGATTTTGGGGTCCTGAGTATTGATATTGGCATCTCCCACTTGGCCATCTTCGTACCTGGAAGAGGAGAAGGGGGTGAGGGGGGTTCTGTGGGGGTCCCGCAGGTGCGGCAGGGTGGGCACAATGGACTCACACAAAGAAGAAGCGTGTGCAGACATGGTCCGAGACAGGGCAGACCCAGATGTTGCCGTGTTTCTGCAGGTCCTTGGAGGTGATCACTGCTGGGGCAAGGGGCTGTTGGAGGCGGGATGGGGGACAGAGGGCCTGTCTGGGCACAGCCCATTGTGGGGAGCCTCCATCCCTCCACCCACCTGGTGACCCCAAGGGTGCTGCCTGTCCCCCCCATTATCCCCCCACACCCCCACACCTTCGCAAAGCGCGATGCAGTTCAGGTTGCGGCTCTGGAGGAAGCGGGACTGGATGGAGCGGGTCTGTGGGAAGAGCACTCGGTGTTACCACCCCGTCCCAAACACCCATGGGTGCCATGTCCCCACTCCCATCCTGCCCCGGTGTCCCCTGGCCCACCTGGGGGATCGTGTTCATCCGGTTGTACCGCTGCACCAGCTCATCCTTCGACGGCATCCGGTGCTGCCCTTTCCCCATTCCTGTGGAAGAAGCAAGGCAGGGGCTTCAGTCTCTCAGAAAACTCCCTGGGGTGATGCAGGGACACATGCCACAGACAGGGATCACCACCCTCAGTGCTCCTGAGCCCTGGGAACCCCCCAAAAGTGTGTGCAGCAGCTTCTGAAGCCTATAAAATGATGGGGGTTTGATTCTTTGGTGTGTGGGAAAGCCCCATCCTGGCTGGGAAGAGGCTGGTGTGATGGGATGGACATGGGATGCTGCCACTCCTGCGCAGCTTCTCCAGCCAGCACGATGCCAAACCTCCCTAGGCCCATGCAGGGAGTGGGAATGGGAGCACAGGCAGGACTGGGAAGCACAGGCAGGACTGGACAGTGCAGGCAGCCTCTTACCTGAGTATCCAAAGGAAATACTGGAGATGGGGCTCAGATAGATGCCCTTGCCATAGGCTGCTCCATGCAGCTTGCAGGAAAATACCAGGGTGAGCGTGGTGGGATCACCCCGACAGCTCAGGCACAGCGGTAGTGGAGGAAGCCTGGGACTTCCCAATGTCTGCTCCCTCCCTGCCTTCCTGCCCTCCCTGCCCGCCTGCGGCCCTGGGGTGTGCTGGGTGCAGGGAGCAGCCTGGTACCTGCAGTTTGGTGTAGGAGGCGTTGACCAGCCCGTTGCGGAGGATGGAATGCCAGTTCTCAATGTGAGAGCCACTGGAAAGAGCCAGCCCCACATCAGCCCCTCATCCATCAGCCCCAGGGCACCCACCTGGGGGGCTCCCACCATCCCCCCACCTCGGCAACTCACTGGAAAGCGAAGGTGCTGCCGTAGAGTTTCTTGGCCGTGCGGAACCGGGCTTCCTTGGCCGGGGGGCTGCTGAGCAGGAGGAACTGGTGGGAGGTGTGCATGAACTTCAGCTGCTACCAGGGGAACGGGAAGAGCAACGGCAGTGCCGGCAGGAGAGAGGACAGACAGACAGACAGAGATCATGCACGGCCGGCCGGCCCTGGATCCAGCCCAGCCTGGCTTTGGCGACTCCATGTCTGCCAGAAGGGTCCTTCACATCCCTGTCTTGCCCCCACCCCACGGCCTGTGTCAAACTTCCCCCTTCCTATACCCCGTGTCCTGACTCCCATATTTCCCAGGCTAG